AGATTGCTGGGGCATCTCTCTTAGTGATTAACATTCAAAGTTCAAAATAATAATTGGAATTAAAATGAATAAAAATCACAATTTAAGCTCAGATACACCAAGTGGCTGCTACCCTTTAATTTGGGGCCCGATTTCTCTAGTAATTAAGTTTCTCAACAAAAGTAAAATAACCTTTTCATTTTAATCTGATTACAATAATAGACCTTTTGGCATGAACAATTAAACCAATGATGTTCTAATTATAAATTAATTTTATGAAGAAGCAATCTTCACAGAAATTTTCTGTTGAGTTTTCTTGTCTTCAATTTAGAAAGCTAAAGATATTTTATAAGTGACTTATTGATTTATTGTTCTTTAGGGTTAGATTTGGGAATTGAACTTTCATAACACTGATGTCCTTGAGATACAGCTACCCAAAATACATTGCAGAGCAGGATTCGTAAATTATGAAGGCAAGAACAAAGATCAAAATCATGTACTCCTCTGGTTAATCAACAATAAATCCAGTTTTGTACTTTAAAGGAAAACATTATGGTGGAATAGAGTCTTTGAGGCATCAATTCTGTGGGAAAACCCAAAGGGACCTACTTGAGAAGGAAGTATTTCAGAATATGCTATTGCTTATCTGACAGCGAACTGATTTTAATTTAAAAATAAGACTACATTTGCATAGTAATTTTACAGTACAGAAGATTTTATTTGCGTTGCTCTTCATGCATATTTGAAAGGCAAGAAAAAATGTTTCCTAATTTTTGTATAGACAGGTTAAAAAAATCTTTGAGATGATATGATTTGTCAAAAAATGAGCATAGGCTAAGATCATGCTTTTTTTCTTTTTAAATGAGGCATTTTTTTAGAAATTATTTTATTTATTTTATTTGTCACTATTTTTTAAGTATACCAGAGAGAGACAGAGAGAGAAGGGAAAATGAGAAAGCAAGCCGCCAGGTCTGAGACTTGAACTACAGTCTGCGATGTGGGAGTCCTGAATCTTAACCACCATGCCACCTGCCAGTCCCAAATGAGGCATTATTTTATAAAGTAATCTGTAAGAACAGAACTAGACCCTAAGAATTTGGGTGCATATAATTTATTTGGTGTTGGTTCAATAAATGCAAAGGAGGAGAGGGAAAGTGAGACAGAGAAGGGCAGAGAGCCACAAAAGTTTCTTTAATTAGGAGCTTGCTACTATGGGCAATGGTTCAGTGCCACTCGAGGTTCTCTGAGAGGTTGTAGTAACTAACTCCTATCACACATTTGGCACCCTGGACAGTCCCTTGTCCTACATCACTGGAAGCCACTGTAATGCATAGAAGTTGTCTGTAGGTGACAGCCAACGTGGTATGAGAGGAGCTGCTCCATTGAATGAATACTCAATAACTGGGCAGTTACTGTAAACTATTTTAAGTTATTTTAAGGTACTTTTAAAGTTCATTACTGATATGCTTAAGATGGTGCAGGTTTCCGGGAAGATCCATTGACATTAAATTGAATTAAACTTAGCAATAAAAAGTTTCATCTACTGAACACATTCCTTACCCTTAGAATCCGTCACAGTCCAGCACAGAAGCTGTGGCTGGCAATACCAGTGCTATTCTTACAGATGCCCTATGTTCATCATCAACTTGGCTGTCCGTGACACTCAGAATGCCAAATTCCTACGCCTGACCACTCCCTCAGCTTCATTCACTTAATCACACATACTACGTACCTGGCACTGTTGTAAGTGCTGGGTTTATAACAGAGAAAAAAAAAAAAAAACAGACAAAATGCCTGACCTCAAAGGAGGTCACTTATAAGTGATTGGTAGAAGAGAACAAATGAACTACCTGGTAAATGAATATATAAAATAAGAGATTTGGTAATGAAAGGTGCCGTGAGGAAAATAAAGCTCAGAAGGAGTGATATTGGAGGAAGAGGGAGAATGCTATTTTTCTAGAGAATGGTTAGAAAACAACTTTTCTGATAAGATAGCACTTGCACAGAGACCTGAAGCGAAGGGTCAAAACCACGCAGAGGATTCCCACAAGGCGTTCTGCTGAATTCACATATTGTTTCTGGGTTCACTGTAAGCACTTGAGCCAGTACTCTGAGTGAGCAGCAGAAAGCTGTTGTAAGGCAAACTGTGGTCCCAATGACCTCTTTTTAGAAGTTTTGTTATGCTAGAGGGGACGTGAGGAAGAGAACAACCCCCCACAATGGGGCCTGGCCACACTCTGATCCTTTTTCTTCTAATTCTCCATCCAGTCATATCCTGACTGAGCTGTGAAGCCCTCAGGGCCAGGACTCCAATCTTGGTTGGCCATGCAGGTTCCGGTTCCCTCTGCATGCCACCTAACTACTGCTCTGTGAGACTGCCCCTCAGTTCTATTTTTTAAAAAGATAACACTATTTTTGTGTGGCAAATAGACTAAAAATGGGAGCAAAAAAACCTCGTAGGGCACTATTGAAATACTCTACACCAAAGATGATGGCGCTCCTCAGGTGTCTGTTTGCTTCATTACATTTTTTCTACTATACACATTATATAAGCACACATACATGCATGCATATGCAAGTGTCTATACCATACATATGTAATATGTATAGATATGTGCATGTATTCATTATATATTTTTTGAGAGGTTTTCACTATAGGGCGCGTGTGCTCACCAGACAGACAAAGACAGAGAGACAGAAGGCGAGAAATCACCCCCCGGGGGGATGGTCACGCCAATCCCTTCTCCTCCATTCTCCTCTCGGGGGATCTTGGGTATGCACGCACATGCACCCGGTGTGAGTTCTAAGCCACCAGGTCCAGGACGTGAACCGCAGACGACTACGTGGAAATCCAGCGACATAGCCATTACGCTAACTGCTGGTTCCCATATATTTTTAATAATTTGGAAATTATTTTGTATTAATTACTTTAGACCAGGGATATTGTATTGTCCTCTACTGAAATAAAATGTGCTTAGTAAGTACTACTTAATTACAATTTTAAAGTTCTTAAAAATACCTGAAGGGTGATTATTTGTAATACTATTTTCTAACATGTGAGTAAATACTATACACATATGACTGTCTTCTAAGCTCAGTTTTTTTTTCTTTAAAATAATATTTCTGTTTAGTTGCATAAATCAACCATTAGGTAACTCTGTTTCTATAAAGAGTCTAGGTTTTGTGAGTCATACAGCCCCTGGTACAACTCTGTGACTCTGTCATTGTAGGGCAGACAACATTAAACAAGCAAGTATGACTATTCCAGTGAAACTCTAAACAGACACTAAAATTTGAATGTATATACTTTTCATATTACTAAATATTCTCCTTTCGATTTATTTTCAACTACTTACAAATGTAAACACCATTCTTAGCTCACAGGTTATACAAACACAGGTCGTAGCTGTCCCATTTGGCCCAGGAAGTGTGGTTTGCAGACTCTTGGTATAAAGTATTAATAGGTCTGGGAGATTTCATCTGTGTTTCATTGATTGAGTCTCATTCTACTTGTAAATACCTTTACTTGCTAGGCTTCTTTCTTTTGTGAAACTAAAGTGTATTCTCTCATAGCTTTGACCCATAGACTCAATATCATTGCATTAAGCAACAAGGACATGTGATTGTTGGGGTAGATGTTGTTGGCTTAAGTGTTGTTATTCATTTAAATATAAACTGCTCCGTCATAAACATACCCGATGTGTAGGTGATCAGATAACCCCGACATTATCTCCAATGGTCATTGGTGGTTAATTAGTACACATAACTGCACATACACATAATTGCACATACGCATTTGTTCTTTAGTCTTTACTTTCTATTTTCTAAATGTGGTTTACTGAGAGATAATAAACAATATCAAAAATAAAGATTTTACAACACAGAGAATGACAGTAGAGAAGAACCATCAATTTATTTTATTATCGGAGAGTGGAATCTAGCAGAGCTAACCACAAAATAAGTTATTAAGTTACAATAGTTCATCATCACTTCTCAAATAACCTCATTTACTCATTTTTTACCCTAAGTAACTCAGGCCTTTTCATCCTATTTCCCTGCTTGATTTATAGCATGCTTTATTCAGTCCATGGTGGGTAGACCACTTACAACATCAATGAAACGTGAGACATCAATGTGAATTATAAGCAGCACTATTTTCCTAGATGAAAATATGTCATTTTTCTTGTAAAATGTGGACTTTGATGATGTTAAAAATTTTGTTTAAATGAACCAGCTTAAGAAAGGAAATTGACTTTTGTTTTGTACTTCTCAGGTTCTGGGTTGAATGATGGACAGTGGCATGAGGTTCGTTTCCTGGCCAAGGAAAACTTTGCTGTTCTCACCATTGATGGCGATGAAGCCTCAGCAGTTCGAACTAACAGTCCTCTTCAGGTTAAAACTGGCGAGAAGTACTTCTTTGGAGGTAAGCATGCCGTTGTTTATTGGTTCACCATGCACTGCTACAGGTGGAGTTTCAAAATGAAGTTTGGTTATGAAGCATTTTATTTTATTCAGTTGACTCAGATCTGAGGCTAAACTAAACTCTGTAATGCCACTGAGTTAGAAAGAGTTGAAAATTTTTGGATCTTCATAATGAAGGTATTAATGAGATGTTACGCTATTCTTCTAGTCCAATTCAAATCTTCAAAGTATAGCATGTGAGATTCTGAACTCATTCACTATTTTTTCTTAATCTTGAGAATTCATTCATTCTTATAACACTGTCCTTAAGGGCCAAGGTTCTAGGATTAAATCCAGGTCACCTATTGCTGAAAAATTAATCACTGCAAGCCTGAGTGGCTTAAAGCAGCAAACGTATACTAGCTCAGCTCACAGCTTCTCTAGCTCTAGAACCCAGGACTGGGTCTCTTTGAGGTTTCACGTAATCTGTTGGCTGTGGTGGTAGTATCGCAAGAGCATCTACTGCCACGAAGGCTCATTCACCTGGCTGACGGTTGGTGCTGGCTACTGGCTAGGGTACCTCTGATTCTGCAAGGTCTTTCTCCTTCAGACAGTTTCTCCTACCAGTGACTAAGCTGGTGTTGGGATTGGCTTGGGGGATGAAGGGTGACGAGGAGAATACCAGTAACAAGAGAGAAAGTTTCCAAGATGAAAACCACAGGTTTTGATTTACGATCCAATCCTGGTAGTGACATCTCATCATTTCTAATACATTCAATTGGTTAGAAGTGAGTCAGTAAATACAACTCACACTTAAAGGACACAAAGGTGTGAGTTCCAAGAGCAATAGATTATTGAGGACCATGTTGGAAACTGACACAGGCTACCTCACAGGAAAAGGCTTCTTATCATAGATATCTTGGTTATTAAGTAATGAAACGATTAGTAAAAAGAAGGATCTAGATAGTAAATTCTACTGTGTGTGAAAGCCTATCATAACAAAGATTTGGCATATTTTCTAACTGATTTGAAATGAATTCTGCCAGAAAAAATTTTTTTTATTATTATTAATGAAATATTAGAGCATAGTTCATTAAAGTGTTAGGTATGTTATTTAGATCAATGTGTCTTTCATTAGATAATTGTCTTTTTTGTCCTAAATTATGTAATATGAGATATAAAAATATATCACATTCTTAGAAAAAGCTTTGGTTTAAAATTTAAAAAGTATTTTTCATATATTTGCCTCTGGAAAAAAATTCTATTAGCATTCACATACCTTTATTTATATAAACATGTATTTGTGTTTCATTTAAACTATGTTATTATGTTATTTAGAGTGAGCCCATATGAGAACAGTCACCTGTCTGTCTTATATTGTCCCATGGTCCTAGAAAATTTCCTAGATACAGTAAATTATTAATAAATACTTATGAATGAATTAGTGAATTCTGTAAAATAAGTAAGACATACATTTTACTACTAATTTCCTAGAATAAGAAATGAAAATCCTGGGACCAGCAGTTGTTGTAATGGCTGTGTTGCTGGACTCCCATGTAATTGACCATGGTTTGAGTCCCAGACCCGGTGGCTTAAACTCATACCAGGCATGTGTGTGTGCATGCCCAAGATCCCAAGAGAAGAATGGAAGAGAAGGGATTGTGGTGTGGCCATCCCCCCTTGGGGTGATTTCTGGCTTTTGTCTATCTCTCTCTCTCTCTCTCTCTCTCTCTCTGTCTGTCTTTCTGGCAAACACATGTGCCCTATAGTTAAAAGAAACAAAAAAGAAAGAAAAGAAAAGAAAAAATAAAAGAAAATGGAAGTCCTAAGAGCTTTACTGACTTACCACTGAGTTTGTGGCCAGCAACTAAATGCAAGATCCCTATCTCCTCTACTGGGACATTTTTCCCCTCTGATAAGTCCTTAGAGAAAGAATTCCTGAATTAAGGCTCTGCTTCTTTACATTCCATGGTGTTTGTTGCAGATTAATACTGGATTTTAAAGTGGTTTTCAGTAAGTATTTGGTGAGTAAATGAAAGTCAGATAAGATGACTTATCAGTAAATGAATAGGGGCTGATTTATGTGAGAAAAAGCAACTCATTGCCAAAAAGCTTCCTCCAAAACCATATTCAATATGATGGATTTGGCCAATAGTTTTTATTACTGTTCTTGTGAATGGACCAGAATTATCAGTTGGAAATCTATTGAGAATCTCTGCTCATCCCTTGACTAGAATATATTTGGTCATGGGTGAGCTCACTGAATGCCTAAGGCATGTACTCATCTATTTCGATCTAAATGGGCAGACAAATAGCTATAACCACACATTTGTGGCAGAGAATTTAGAGAATGTGAGGGCTTTATGGTGGACTGTTTACCACCACTTTACAGATTTGGGTTTTCAAACTCAGTAGTCAAGAGAATACTACTTCATCTTTTGTCTATGGTCTGCCTTTGGGATATGCTGTCAGCAAATGATCTTGCTGCCTCTGTAGGTTTATCTTCAATGACTGAATCTTCAGGGTGCATAAGAATCACTAAGAGAACTCATTACAATTCAGAATCTCAGGCTTCTCACTTGGAACTTTAAAATGCAGGATGCGGGACCACCAGTTGGTGTAATGGCTACGTTGCTGTACTCCCATGTAGTCAAACGCAGTTCGAGTCCCAGAACCGGTGGCTAAAATTCATGCCGGGCGTGTGAATGTACATGCCCAAGACCCCGAGAAGAGAATGGAGGAGAAGGGATTGCGATGTGACCATACCCCCGGGAGGTGATTTCTCACTTTTTATCTCTCTCTCTTTCTCTCTCTGTCTTTCTGGTGAATGCATTCGCCCTATAGCAAAAACCATTCCAAAATAAAAAAAATATATATAAAAATATAAAAATAAAAACAAAAAATAAGTAGATAAATAAAATAAATGCAAGATGCTGAGAAATTGAAAAATTCTAAACTTTAAATGCTTCTGATACAGATGATGCATGGAACAGAATCTGAACAGAATTCAGAATCTGCATGAACGTCTTTCAGATGCTTTCTGAAAGACAGCATCATTCAGTGAAGTTTGTGATATTTGAGGATAAGCTACTTTTCTTTTTCTTTTTCTATTTTTTTTTTTTTTGAGAGGTTTTTGCTATTGGGCACATGCGTTCACTAGAAAGACAGAGAGACAGAAAGCGAGAAATCAGCCCCCAGGGAGAATGGCCATGCCACAATCCCTTCTCCTCCATTCTCCTCTCAGGATCTTGGGCACGCATGCACACGCACCCGGCATGAGTTTAAACCACCAGGTTTGGGACTCGAACCATGGTCGACTACATGGGAGTCCAGCGACATAGTCATTACGCTAACTGCTGGTCCCTAGGATAAGCTATTTTTCTAAAGCTTTGCCACCAGGGAGCAAATGAAGTAAGTCATAGGCCAGATTCTGGTACGTAACAGATATTCATTAAACAAACACTTATTAGCAAGGAAACACAGCAGTGCTGATACCAACTCTTCTATGACCTCTGTGAAGTCCCTGGCTCTCGGAGTCCTGCATCTCAAATGACATTTGTCTTGATGCTGAGACACTGAGAAGTGTGAGTCAGCCACACACAGAGCCAGTGCCAGGCACAGCAACAGTCAGAAGCACATGGAAGGTACAGGATCACGAAGGGATTCCCTGCCCCAGGAGCACGTCTAAGGGCAAAGGCACAGGCCTTTATAGTATCCCAAGTATGTTCAGTTTTTCTATTGAGAGGAGGTGTCCTTCCCAACAAAGAATTGACTTTGTTCTACAATACAAGCTTTGGAATCATGAACACCTGATTTTTTTTTTTTTTTTTTTTTTTTTTTTTTTTTTTTTTGCTTTGGCCTTAAAGTATGTGTACTCACTAGAGAGAGAGAGTGACAGAGACAGTGAGGGGGAAAGTGAGAAACCCCCAGGAGGGATGACCATACCAAAGTCTTTTCTCCTCTGTTCCCCTCTCAGAATTTTAGGCATACACACACACACACACACCCACCCAGACCTGGCATGATTTTCAACCCAGCAGGTCTGGGCTTGAACTGTGGTCGGCCATGTGAGAGTCCAGTGATACAGCCACTATACCATCTGCTGGTCCCATAAACACCTGGTTTTTAAATAATGACTTTACAACTTAGTTGATGAATTCCTCAATGATTTATATTACTGTCTCCATCTATAAAGGGGCAATGTAATCTGTTTAGCGAACTTCGTATGGCATCATCTGTGAAACCCAGGGTTTACCCTAGTAGATGCCAATGCTTAATGCCTTTTAAATTCGTCTAAAGTTTTAATTTAATTTTGTTTTGTTTTAATTTAGTCAGAGACCACTCATTGTTAGGAAGATCTGAGTCTTCAGACCACTGCTCATCTAAAGACTCCTCATCAATTTCTAAACTCCTCAAAGTATATCTTCCCCCTCAGTCAGAAAAAAAAAAAAAAAATTTAAATTCATTTCCTCTTGGCTGAAAATCGTAACTAAAGGCTTCCCTATCGTTCTGTATAGTTTCGTACCCAAACCTTAAACATATCCACACTTTGTTTCTTTTGAAGCTAAGTCCTGGTTTTGCTGTTTCTTCTGCAGCCCCAGGCGTGGCTGTTTCACTCCAGTGCGTGGTTTTATCTGTGCTCGCTCCCTTCTAATCCCAGGGAAGGTCTTAGTTCTCTCTTTTGTAACACTGCGATCAGGTGTTTAAGCCCCCAAAATTCTTTTGCCTTGTTCTTTCTTGGGAATAAGCACAGTAAGAAGAGCTCAGTTATGTGAGGTGTTTCTTCAACACAAGATGCTTTAGCTGCTTTCTCTTTTTTCCCTACCTTCTAACTGGGATTCTCTTAGATAAAAACTGATTAACTTTAATAATAAAAAGAATAATAATTACTCTAATTGCATTTATTTTCTGGCCACTTACTTCGTGAAAGACTTTCTGACACAGGCCAGGGCCTATAGATATGAGAGGGTAGAAAGAGTTTTAAATTTCTAAATTGTCTTAGGTTTGGTATTTTTATTATCA